ATGTTCCTAAACCTTGAGCAGGGTGAACACCGCCAGATGAGAAGGTCTGAGGACTTCTTAGAGGAGCAGGGTACAAGGTTCATAGCAGAAGAGCACCCAGGACAGGAAAGAGAGGACTTCAGAATACCACGTTGAAAGAGGAAATCCCTTGCATGCTCATCAGTATTTGTAATCCGATGGATTTCGTTGTGTAGTGAGTGGCTCATATTGAAAACACAGTAGTGGTGTACAAGTATCTGTCTTGTATATCGAAAACGACGATGGCTGTGTACCACAATTCATCTTATATATCTCTGCGACGTTTTTCGTAGTTAATACTGACATCTTGCAATCTTAGCGAAGAAGTCTACCGTATGATTGGATCATATGATAATGGAAGCTAAAGTGCTTGCTGATACCATGGACCTTGTTAAAGTGGTCCATGGACCACTTATTCAGTGATAAGGTGGTCCATGGACCAGTGGTCCATGGACCACCTAGAGTGGTCCATAGACCAGTGGTCCATGGACCAGTCGGGCTTCTTGTAAACTGCCCAATTATGAATAATGATTGATTTAACCATTCGTAAATTACAGACAGACACACCTATTTATTGAGATTATTAGTATAAATCATCATAAATTTATACAGAACAAAAGGAAAAAATATTAGGTGCTATCCTTGTCAGCAGAAATACAAAAAGAATGACGTTAAGTTCGTTCAACCGCCGCGCATTGTGTTAAATATTAAATTATTCCACCGGTTAATACTGTTAATTTCTGTAAAATGTGATCTGTTGAAAGTACATTTGCTTGAGTTAACAATCAGGCATTTCCGGCATGTAAAATATTATACACTGGGACAAGGTTAATATCTGGCCTACATTGACATTATTGGATGTTAAATCAGTTCAAAACTCGAAGAATAAAAACACTAAAATATGACTCTGAGAGTATGAGACTATGAGTGTCCAGGATGCGATCCAAGAAATTTCTACTTACAATCTACTATTGGTAGTTTATCCCGTTTTAAAACGTTTAAAATTGAAAGTAATTCTGAAATTGTATCGTCTTCGGTTCATTTAGTTATTTTAAATATTTAGCTTGCTCTAAGCATGACAGATGATCTTGTCATTTGTCAAGCTTAAAGCGAGCTAAATAGGGGGGGGGATCATGAGAATTTTGAGAGTCCCGACGAAAATGGCCAAATTCTCATTCTCAAAAATTATTTTTGAGAAGAGTTTTCAGGAGAGGCGAAAAACTCATTCTCAAAAATTCATTCTCATCTCAATTGAATGATTTGGTATATCACTATTTTTGAGTGGACAATTTTTGAGAAAATTAGAAATCCATGCTGAATTTCTCAGATTCAAAAATAATTTTTGAGATATTTTTGAGTATTCCCGGCGAAAATGGTCAAATTCTCGGATTCAAAAATCGAGAGATTTTAAATATTTAAAATAACTAAATGAAATTAGGACAGACCATTGTTCATTCTTGTGTTCAAAAGTAATGTTTTATGTGTTTTTAATGTTTAACTGTTCCTGAACTAATTGTTTGTGTCAGAAGTATAATTTTTCCTGGAACAGTGCATGCCAAACGGCGATAACCTTTGGAGCCACAAATAATACCATTCGTAATGGAAAGATGTCAAAAATTATTATACATAGTATAACAAATTAATATACTACATAAAACGTTACTTTTGAACAGAATAATGTCCATGGTGTGTCCTAAAGAACTCCTAGACATGGCCGCTTTAGTCAAATCAGTGGACAATTAATATTTGGCTTACGAGCCATGAGGTCCTCCACCAAATATCTTCACTTCTCCACGAAGGAAACATGACAATGAACAGCTATGAAACTGGTTGGAGGGGGTTCGTGGTCCCCCAGAGATTGCAATCCAGCTTGAGAAGTTATTCATTTGCCAAGATTCATGGCAAAATATATTGCTTGAAATATATCGTTACCCTAATCATAGTTATGGGCATTCCGATCTGTTCTTATTGTACACATTAGTACCAAGTGCACAAATCTGATAAATCGAATAGCGATGGTGCGGAAAAGTGCGGTATTAGATCAATAGTGTGACTCCGCACCCACCGCACTTATATGTTACCTCTGGTACAAAGGATAGTCGTTTACAGTTTGAGTTTATGAATTGCCCTCAACTCTGTTAAAGTTGTATACAAAAGTGCAGCTGAAACAACATACGAATTGAGCGAGTATATGTTGTTTCGCATAGAATAGACTTACGAGTAAGTATATTAATTCACTAGTAGCGGTATTTAGCCCTCCTTTTACTCTCATATATTAGTGTATTCAAAATACTTGGAGATGGTGAGGACCGGTAGGTGGTATAGTATACTAGACCAATGGAGAATTTTTTAAATGTCTGCATAACTTATACAAGAACAAATGCGGGAAACCATAGGAAACTAAAGTAAACTAACTGCAAACGCCATAAATACAATATTCCCGTCCAATAATCTACACGAGGGTAGTGCCATGTGATTCCCTGATAAAATATCACACGGAGGATTGCTTGCGGAGTATTTGAGTATTAAGTGCTAGGCGTCTGATCAGCTGACATTTATTACCGTTACAGTGACAGGTGTGTTATTGTCCAGGTGATACTTAGCTGCCTAATGGTGGGTATTTTACAGTCCTCCGTTATGTCGCATAACTTCTGTCTAGCCTAAGTTTAATTACTTAGCTGACGGCTTAATGAATCGCCATTAACGACAGATATATAATAACTAATTAGTATCTTAGTAACTCATGTTGAGCATGATCTGTAATGCAGGCAGAACATGGTATTCATGATAAGCAAAGGAGAAGCAATATAAATCTGCCGGTTTTGGGTGAAAGTGGGGAATTATTTCCCCGAAAAATCGTGGACACTGGTAACCGATAATTTCCCGAGTGTTATGAGGACAGACAATTTACTGTCGAAATTAAGTTGTAACTTACCTAAGCTATAGTTATTTGCTTTCGATTTGGCTCTTTCTATATTTGGTGCGATTTTAAACTAATCGCACTTATTATAACACCAGAACCCTGAACCGTGGAGTTGTACGCGAATCTAACTGAATGTATTACACGATTACACCAGTAATCGCATTATATGCAGTTAGATTAGCGTGTATAAGCTAATTAACGGCCTAATATTGAAGTGATCAACGGAAGTAGGTTTTATTTTCCGGACAACATGGAGAAAAAAACAAACTCTATATTTGACTTTCATAAGAGGAGATTAAAAGTGCTCATGCCTCCAGCATCATCAATCATTAACACTTGTGAAGACTGAATAGTGGATCAATGAAAATACGGAAATAAATTTGTAGGAATCCTTGTCACAATTATTGTGCCTTAATATTAAATAACTCAAACTCAAAGAACATATTTACCTACTCAACTAGTAAAATTACGCAGACCTAGACGCTCGGAGTCTGCGGCCCTTCTACATATAATTATACTTCTGACTTGTCAGGAGAGACTTTTCAAATCAAATTGTTCCTTAAATACACCAGAGACTAAAATCTTTCAACATCTGGATTCTGGCAGCAAGGAAGTTCGCATTTCTCTATCATAACGTGTGTTTTCCTCAGAATACTTGGCAGAAAGGCCGATCACAAAATTTAGTCCGAGTTCTGACAGGTAACAGAAAATTCTCTGACTCAGAAGTCATGGAGGAAAACGATTTTAAACCTGTGACGAATTATAGCACCTAGTCAGCAAGTCAGTAGTCAACAGGTGGTTAACAGCCGGCCGACAAGGTATCGCAAATTTCACTCTGTAATGAAATAATTGATAGGCTGGGGTAGGGGGTTGAGCAAAACGTAGGAAAGAACAGATCCTGAATTGTAAACACTAACCAGTCCCAACTTGAATGTACTTTTTATCTAAATATTCAGAACAGTGAGGACAGCTATGGAACTATCGCCAACACACCACTTAAGCGGTTGAACTCCTGCACGACTTTCAAATACAACAGTATCTCGATATGATTATAATTATAGTGTATTATGCACTGTGGTTTGAGCTGTACGAGGTTAAAGCGAGCACAGCCACATTCCACAAGCAGCACAGAACGGAAGTATCAACGTTTCTAACACAGCTCAATTTCCTGCAGGCAGCACAGAATGGAAGTATCAACGTTTCTAACACAGCTCAATTTCCTGCAGGCAGCACAGAATGGAAGTATCAACGTTTCTAACACTGCTCAATTTCCTGCAGGCAGCACAGAACGGAAGTATCAACGTTTCTAACACAGCTCAATTTCCTGCAGGCAGCACAGAACGGAAGTATCAACGTTTCTAACACAGCTCAATTTCCTGCAGGCAGCACAGAACGGAAGTATCAACGTTTCTAACACAGCTCAATTTCCTGCAGGCAGCACAGAATGGAAGTATCAACTGTTTCTAACACAGCTCAATTTCCTGCAGGCAGCACAGAACGGAAGTATCAACGTTTCTAACACAGCTCAATTTCCTGCAGGCAGCACAGAACGGAAGTATCAACGTTTCTAACACAGCTCAATTTCCTGCAGGCAGCACAGAACGGAAGTATCAACGTTTCTAACACAGCTCAATTTCCTGCAGGCAGCACAGAACGGAAGTATCAACGTTTCTAACACAGCTCAATTTCCTGCAGGCAGCACAGAACGGAAGTATCAACGTTTCTAACACAGCTCAATTTCCTGCAGGCAGCACAGAACGGAAGTATCAACGTTTCTAACACAGCTCAATTTCCTGCAGGCAGCACAGAACGGAAGTATCAACGTTTCTAACACAGCTCAATTTCCTGCAGGCAGCACAGAATGGAAGTATCAACGTTTCTAACACTGCTCAATTTCCTGCAGGCAGCACAGAACGGAAGTATCAACGTTTCTAACACAGCTCAATTTCCTGCAGGCAGCACAGAACGGAAGTATCAACGTTTCTAACACAGCTCAATTTCCTGCAGGCAGCACAGAACGGAAGTATCAACGTTTCTAACACAGCTCAATTTCCTGCAGGCAGCACAGAACGGAAGTATCAACTGTTTGCACTGGATGTTAGAACAAGGTCTCGATCCCAACTCCACTGACAGTATGTTTAAATTTCTTGGTACAATTTCAGCTACTTTTAGCTTTTTAGATTGTCCATTGGTTAATTTTAAATGTACTCTAAAAAAAATTGTTATAAAACGTTATTTAGTTAAGAATATAAACTAAAGTGTGAGATAACACGGAGTATTGTTTGCGGAGTGAGATAACTAATTTAGCTCACGTGACAGGTTGTCAGAACACACCGTTACACGCAGCAGCCTCCAAATCACAGATCCTTGCGTTCAGCTGTCTTCTTTATCACGGAGCCTCTCAGGAAGCTACCAACAACAAGGTTCGTTAACAAATCATTGACTACAGAGCAGTACATTGACTACAGAGCAGTACATTGACTACAGAGCAGTACATTGACTACAGAGCAGTACATTGACTACAGAGCAGTACATTGACTACAGAGCAGTGCATTGACTACAGAGCAGTACATTGACTACAGAGCAGTACATTGACTACAGAGCAGTACATTGACTACAGAGCAGTACATTGACTACAGAGCAAGGCAATTGACTACAGAGCAGTACATTGACTACAGAGCAGTACATTGACTACAGAGCAGTACATTGACTACAGAGTAAGGCAATTGACTACAGAGTTGACTTCAGTGCGAGCAAATTCTGATTTAATATTGTTTTGACTGGATAGAACTTGTCGTATAATAGTGACTGCAGTCATGAATAGTCGATTCAGACCGTTTCAACCCTTGTACAGCACGTGGAAATAAATAAAGGTCCAAGTTCCTTGTAACACATTTATTTTGATAACTGACAAATTTACATTTGTCAATAATTATTATCAATCACCGAATTCTATACATAAGACCATATATGGGCATATCGTTCTGCTCATGAGCTATTTTTATCCAATTTGAATAGAAAATTGTGTAAGAACTCAAGAGACCAGCTGTTGCAACTAGAAGAGCACCGACGCTAGCTTTTGGGAATATTTGACTGGTCGTCAGGAACTTCTTAAGAAGTTGATTTGCCGTCAACTTTTATATTAAAATGAGTTTCACATGCTGAACCCTCCCTTAAGTCAAAGAGTTCTCATTAATATTTCAGTCGTCTAGACTGACGGGAAATTAGATTCGCGGAGTATGATATAAGACTATTGTTGAACTAAAAACCACATTATCGAGCCAATAAAGTTAAGTGGTTTATAGAGGATATTTGCCATAACTTGCCAAACACTTGAGCCGAATGACCAGAACTGGAACGAATTTTGTTCTATTAGAAAAATAAATAATTTGTTACATCACAAGTTGATAGCGAAGAGCAACAAAACGTTTATCGCAGAACCGAATATGACTACCTTAGAGATTTTTTACAATGCTAAACACCACCGCGCAATTTTACTGCCATTTACCTGATAAAATATCTGTGCGTATTCTTCAGACCCTGTGTCACTATTCTAAATTTATGTAAAGCTATGAATTTTTTATACAATATTTTGCAAAAATTAAATGATGTGGTTGATCTTAAAACTTTTCTCGTTTTCGTAATTACAATATCGTGATCACGTCTTTTAGCCGACGTTTCCTGCATTGTACGGGTTAAACTTTAGTTAAAATCGCTGCAAAGTCTGAATATTGTATAATATTAGGCGGGAAGTTTGTAACAACTTACTTAGAGAATATTTTCAGGGAGAAACGCCTATGGACGTAGCACGAAAAGTTGGATCGCCATTCGCTATGGGAAAAGCTGGTGAGCATTAACCAATCAATAACAGGGAAGTGGGAATCATAAAATTATGCTACCCTTTATCTTGAACAATGTATCTCAAATAGGGGGGGGGGGATAAATCTCTTCATGTGCGGAATCACTTTTTTTCACGTTATGGGGTCGTTCACATATTATGTAATAATTTTTTGGAACAGTTTTACCCCCCCCCCCCCCCCCCCCTCCGTAATCGGTTTTACACATAGCTATTGTGTCAAAATTACACTAGCGTAATCATTCGGAACCCCCGGCCCCCCCCCCCCCCCCCCCTCAGCTGATTACGTAATAATATGTGAACGACCCCTATCTGCGACGATACAAATCTGATTACTTTGCCATTCTCAGTTTCTAATCCCAATTATTTGGTTGGCTGTTCAGCTATATTCAGCAGTATTTTTACCACGTTATCATAACTTGACTTTCTCGAGAATGAGTAGTATTGGCATAACTAAAATTGGGGAAAAGGCGCTCCCCTCTATCTGAAGGCAGGGTAATGTTACAGCTTATGTTGGTCGTTAGATCACCATGTGCCGACCAAATGCTAACGTTAATGAATAATACATTTTGGCATCTATCATAGCAATTATTTCATTCTTTTACCACCAATTTTATATTTTCTGCCGCGAATGTTCCGCGATCTTCGAGTTTTCCGCCGCTAATTTTGATAATTTTGCTTGTTGCATTACCGCGAGTTTTGGCTCAATAAAAATGTGGATTGGTTGTGTCAGGGCAGACAATTTAGGCCACGAAGAAATGAGGCAGGACATTCTGAAAAGTTTGGTAAGATGTCATAAACTAACGCGAAAAAGAATCAAGTTCTATAATGAGATTTTATTTAGAACCTTCAGACAGAGTTGACAGACTGATGCAATTCAATTTCAAATCAGACAGCTGATTCAATCTCAATTATAATCGCACTAACGGAGACGCAAAGCATCAAAGTAATGACAGTTTTAAATAAATTCTTTAAAAAATACTTTTAAACCTCTGATTTTAAATGCATTTCTCCTGTAAACGGTAATTTGTGAGATACTTTGACTTAACTTTGGCTTCAACAACTCCGGATGAAGAAGTGGACTGGATCACGTGACATCTCACTGTCAGTTCAGCAGCCTCCTGATCCCAGACATCTTGTCTGGGATCGATCACAATCAGTCTTAAGAGAAGTGCTTCAGCTGCTTCTCGGTCAACGATATTCAAGGAATGCACTATAGATCACTTATCCTCAGCACCTATTCCACGCAGCGCAATATGATTGGCTCACAAATTCGTGGCGACTTTAAGTCTAAGTTGATGTTATTGTTTATACACGCTCCACTGTTTCTTTTCATTTTTGCAATTGCTCACTATTTCAGTTAATAAATCTTGAAATTTTCGGCCGCAATTTTACTAGTAATTCTATTGTGTTCCCGAAAGAAATTTTGCCCTGTTATGTTTTTTGTTTTGAAACTACGTAAGTAAGTACTTCGTGATCTCGAGCTCTCTTGGTAACTGATGGTATTACAGTCAGTTTATAGTTATACAGTTGATAAATTCATGGCGAGCACCCAATTGTTTGATCGGCCCTACACACTGTGCACTGATTAAGTTTTTTTAAAGTTTTTTTTAGTTTTTTTTTAAATTAAAAAAACTGATTAAGTACATCTGACATGACGTGTTGTCATGGTAACAGGAATTCTTTGTTACTCGTAGTATGGATTGATGGAGAATGGAGATACACAGTTTTTAATCTATGTTAACGATTAAGTGATTAACATCCCGTTGACTGTTCATCGATTCGGTTGATGTGTAATACCATTATAGTACGTCTTCTCCTTTTCTCCGTCTCAAACTCTCCTGGTAACTTTAGTCATAGATGCTTACAGTTGACGAACTCACACTCATGGCGAGTGCCTGCATTATGATCGTTTACATGAAGCAATAAGCTGACAAAATTTTTGATAACGGCCGGTTTTTCGTGGGTTCTCTATTCTTCTATTGTGTTCGACAATCAGTAATTTTGCCCTGTTCTGCATCTTAAACCAAAGGCAAAAGCATGATTTTCTCGTAAATTTGCAACTTGAGTTCGAAATCTTTTACTTCTATTTGCTATGATTGTTGGAAACTGTAAAGCGCCCGCTTTACAGGATATAATACATATCATACTCGCCTCGCGGGCGGAATTTCGTATAGCACTCGGACCCAACGGGCCCTCCGTCACGTAAAACCTGTCTTACGCGACACATATAATTTAACAAAACTCGTGCTAAATATCAAATATCTATCTTCAAGCTGCAGCTTTGCAGCACATTATTCGCGCAATTTTCCATCATGGAATGTATGATCAAACAGTGATGATCATACATCACTAGGTTATAGATTTAGAATTGGCGGTTTTTTGGAAATTATCTTACTTTAAGATAATAAAATTACTTTAGTTAAGATGGAAAACATTAAACGCCAACTTGATATACCGTCATGAAGTACCCTTACCGATCTGAAAAACTTCAGCACGTGGTTTTGCCCCTCTAAGATGGTCGATTTGGCATGTACTGAAAGTGCTCACCTCGCATGGTGCTGTGATAGAAACCTATGGTAGCCTTATACTGTTGCTAAGACACTATAGCTATTAGCAGTCGTGTAATAAAGAGTCTTAGCCCCTAAATCGGAGAATGGAACTTGGAAGTGTCATCAAATGGGGCAATTCACTATGTTATGAAAGTCTAAACGGTCTACTGAAATTTTCTGACGCGAAGCTTTTTATTAAAGATAAAGTTTCATTTCTGCAGTTAGTATGTTCGCGCGTAAGCCGCGCATCAGAGGAATTTAAGCACGAAATTATAAAACATAAACAACTCTCATCATTCTTTATCACTAATCGCTTAGTGACTACACAGTTCATGTTAAATAATTGCTTAAATCTGATGTGCTAGACTCAGTTTCAGGACAGAAGAAATGTCCGAAGTGCAAACAGAAGGGATTAGATCAGGAGTGGGAGACCAAAAACAGTCCTGCAGATATCATGGTTGCGATAGAGTCCAGCAAGGATCTTCTGTTTCACGCCCCTTCTGAACCCAAGTATGATAGATTTCACTTCGTCAGAATGATCATTGAGTTTCAAAATTTGGAGACAGTTTCAGTATTTACCCTCTTTCTAATTAATATATTCATAGTATCAGCCTAAGTGATTTTTTCTAAATTTTATCACTATCAGGGTGAAATTGAGTGAAATTTGAATTAAAATATTGTCAAATTGTTATTATTCTGAAGGGTAAAAAAGACAATTTTGATTAAGTAATCAACAACCAAACAACCCACCCCCCTCCTTAATTGTTGGTTTGGTTATCTCCAACTCTAATATCCCACTCCCAGAGTACAGAAGTTCGCTAAAGGTGGTGGTGGTGGTGGTGGAAGTGAACACTCCCTTTCCTCCTCAACCTCCTCCTCAACCTCCCTCACATTCCTGCCTAAACGAAACATGGCCGCCAAATTCTACGGAAACTTTGTGAACTGAGCGACAGTTGCAGGTTGATGATTGATTATGATGAAAGAAGTCCCATTTATTGACTGATTATGTGATAGAGTGGTGCAGAATTATTTTTCAACGTTATTAAGAGTCTGCTTTTTTGACTTCTCTTTAAACCGGTAAAAAGCTTTTAATTTGGGTAAGGGACACAAGCAATATTTATTGGCTAATGGCACTAATCTTATCTGTTTAAGAGATTATAATCTAATCTGTTTAACAGATTTAAGAGATTTAAGAGATTCTTTAATCAAGAATGTCTAAACATGCCCTAAATAAATATTATGGTTCATAATTGAGGCTTCGAGATGAACTCTGATATCAATATTTATTTAGATTTCTTATGTTTGAATTCAAGAGCGGGTATAGGAATAAACTTTCCTATTGAACATATTGAAGAATTCAGAAACTGGCATTTTCACGGTCATCACTTCTTCTACTATACGGACTACCTTTTGTAATCATTGTAGAGTTTGTTGACAGACGTTTCACAGATGTATGGTTATATATCGCTCTCTACATCTTTGAAGTGAGGAGTTTCAGCTCTTTCCCACTAGTTGCAGGTCTAGTTTACATGTACACATATATATACTAGTTGGTATCATTCACACATCAATCTTCATGCTTTGGGTACGTCAGTCGTCATATGATGGACGTGTTAAAACCTGTCGTTTGGATATCGATTATCTTGGGTTGTTTTAACATACTAACGAAGAAAAGAAACGTTTTCACCTTTTTTGCGTGAAGATGATATTGTTTTCATGATGGTCAAAATTGCAGCTGTGCAGAATGTTCAAGTAACTTATTGAACTCTCAAAAATGATGTTTATTTGTAAATACTTATGTAAATATATTGATTTTATAAAAATTTTCTGATACATTTGTATTATTATTTCCTTTGAATGACTAGGCAAAGCAAATCAAATTCTATATTTATCAGTTGAATCGTACAATTTTCCCCTTTTTGCATACATCATCATTAAGACAACAACAATAGCCATAGAAATACCGATAATTTAATTAACAAGACCTCGTGTTGTATAGATGTGGATACTGGCGGGGAGGTGATCATTGTTTGTTTACATTAATAGTGAGCACATGTTAAGCAGGCTGAGGAGGTGATCATTGTTTGTTTACATTTTAGGTCGAGCACATGTTAAGCAGGCTGATGAGGTGATACACTTCTTGTTACCCCCCTTTGAGGGCCCCGAAATATTTTCTGAACGAAAGCTCAAAAATAACCGAGAAATCGACCTTCTTATTAACTTATTTTGAGGACCGTTTCTAACCTAAAATTGCACGAAAAATCGATTTAGCTACGTTTCAGAACCTATAAACACTTCCTTATCCCTCAAAATCGATCTTTAATAGTTTGATGAGTCCACGTGTTGAGGGGTACTGTAACAGCATTTCTCAGGTCGTTGTTGATGTTTTGAATGTAGTTGTAGTAACCAGCATCTGATATTAGGATCTCTACCCTGTGTGAGGACGTTTTGTAGTGAAACCAGGATCTGTAGGGGCCAGTCAGCTGCTTCTTTACCCATGAACACACCGTTAGGGAGTCTTTGACCTGGCTCATATCAGGTGAAAACTCTACGTAGTCACCAAGAGTGGTACCGAACTGTAGTGCCTTTGTTAAGGATCTCTCTGATGCCAATATAGTGGGGATGGTGCAATGTAGGGCTAGCAGGGCTGTTAGGAGTTGCAAAAACATGATCCTGGTTTAAGATTACTGAATAGTGAATACTGATCATTTATAAATACGTTTGTTATTTTAACTTAAACCCTATTGTTTAATTATTACTTGTCTGTTTAAATTAACAAGAAGAGGACTAATCATTGTTAGTTTAATGGTAGCTATTAGCTAATTTTCTTAACCGAATACAGTTAAACCCTAATTAAAATTGAACAAAATGCCGACCGTTACAGAAAAGTATAACTGCCACCAGACCTAAGTTATAATATAACGTTAAATTGGGGTTATAACAACTGTAAGGTAACAAACCAAGCAATTACAAAATGACCCTGCCTTCAATCACGATGCTGATTGTTGTTGCATGGGAACTTGCCGGTTGACAGTTGACACGTCATAACGATACAGTCCAATAAAAGGCACTATCCGTCGCGGAGTAGAGTCCGCGGCGGAGCCGCCGGACTCCGAGCGGACTCCGGCGGTGCTCCGCCAAAATGTATTTACACTGGACTCGAGTACATTTTGGCGGACTCCGAGCGGAGCCGAGCGGACTCCGAGCGGACTTTAAAGTCCGCCGCGGACTCCGAGCGGCTCCGCGGCGGCTCGGCGGAGTGTCCGCCGCGGACTAAGCCACTAGGCGGACTCCGGTCCGCCGCGGACTCCGGCGGAGTGCTTGGCGGACTCCGCCGGACCTCTCCGCCAGACTTGAATCCGGCGGAGTCCGGCGGAGCTTGGCGGACTCCGCCAGCTCGGCGGACTCCGCTCGGAGTCCGCCGGACTCCAACAGAGTCCACTGACTTCCGACCTCCGACTTCCGACCCTCGGCTAAATTTGTCACGTGACATTCAACATAGCATTTTGCAATTGCAATATTGTGGTCAGATGAAAAGGTCGCTAGTGATAAACCTTAACCATTACCCTCACAATGTCAATAGTGTACAACTCTAGTCCTAACTTTGACCCTATAATGTATAAACGTTGACCCTAACCCTCCACCAAACCGTCCGCAGCGAAATATCAATGTCATTGACTGGTCACGTGACCAAAACAATTTTTGTCATATTATCTCATATAGGGAAGCGTTTTTAGTTTTACCCTACACGTTGCATGTGGCGTCATTCGGCCGGATCCCAGCAAGCAAAAATACGTCGACCATCACAGGACGACGCCAGCCAGCACTCTCTACGCTCTTCGAGCTCCGATCGTCCTGTGACGAAGTAAGGACGAAGCCTGAGGTCCTCAGGTAACATCGACCACCGATTGAAAATTCAAAGATTTTTTGACAGGGATTTCAAAGGATTTCAAAGGATTTCAAAATAAAATGATCATTACAATAAACATTGTGTCGGATCTAAATTAAAAAAAAATAAAGATAAAATGAAAGTCAAAAACGAAAAAACCGAAACCTGTCCTGAAAAATGCACGGTTGACGGTTATAGTCTAAAGAGTTTAAAAACCGAGCTATTCTAAAAAGGAATGTTCATGACGCGAACAACCAGTCCTTTGTGTCCATGCCTAAATCCACACATAACTTCCACACTAAATCAAAAGTGTGAAACGCACACGAAAATAACACACTGTCGGATCCACGTTTCGCATGTTGAGTCCGTGAGTCATGTTGTAGGTCCTTCCTTTTCTTTTCTGTCACTCGGGGGGAACCTCCGCTTGTTCACTTTACTCAAGAATCTGGCAGTTTCTCTGATCAATAGGATATCCTTGAAGAGGTCGGCAAAGGTCTCCGCTCCAGAGGTGATCATGGTTCTCGCCTGCTGACCTATGTTTCGCCTCAGGTCGTCGTAAAGCGAACAATCCGCGAGAACGTGTTTCTCATCTTCAATGATCGGCTCAAACATTGGTAGTTCGGCCAGTATACCGACAGCTTCAAGGTCTGATGAAGAACAGTGCTTACAAATGCGACTGAGCGGATTTTCACGGTTGATGGCGTATCTACCGGTCTCGATGTTGAACTTATGAGCACTCATTCTGAACTGCGCCAGCCGCTTCACCTCTTCTCCACTGAGCTGCAGGTTCAGGTACGCTTCAGCTGTAAATTCACTTTTGATAGTGTTGTAGAAACTGAGCTTCCGGTTGTTTTGCCGCTCCTCGTTCCAACAGTTAATAAAAGTACTACGTAGTGCTGTTTTGAATTGGTTGGGGTAGGTCAACCTGCGAGATGATACTGACTGAAGGCTTTGTCGGAGATCTTCTATACCTTTGTACCATGGCAGATTGAGTGTGCGTTGTTCTATGAACGCCTGTCTGGCTAGACTTGTGCAACCAGCTCTGTCCATTTGCTCAAGTCGGTTGAAATACCCAAATACTTGCTTTGATGCCTTTATCACTAGGGGGCAGCGGCCTGTATCACCCCATACACTCGCATTTGAGGTTTTTCTGCCCACTCCTAAGGTCCACTTGAGGAATGAGAGATGAAGCTTTTCGAGAGGATCTCTTGCAGTCTCCTTCAGGAGAGATTTGGTGTTGATATTATCTTGATAGTTTCTGACAAAGAGAGTCTCTGGGAGCCACACCTGACATCCGTATGTCACAATCGGTACCACAAGCGCGTCGAATAGCTTGAATACGATTGTTCGCCTGAAGTGTCTTAAGTCAATACTGCTTTTTAGCGCGAAGTAGCTTCTGAGACCTTTTTGCTTCAGTTTGTTCTGTGCTACTGCTGAAGAACCGTTGAGGGTAAAGGTTATCCCGAGGTAGCAATATTCTCGAACTGATGTGATGTTGGTTTCGCCGAGTTGGAATGTCAGACTCTCTTTAAGGAGCCTCCCGGAACGGTTGAACACCATCACTGCCGTTTTTTCGATGTTAACGGTTAGTCCCCATTCGATACAGTAACTGTGTAAAACGTTTAGAAGTTTCTGTAGTCCAGTATGATCAAGGGCAAGAAGTATAAGATCATCAGCCCAGAGGAGATGAGTGATATTAACATTATTCAGTTCAGGGACGTTGACTTCCTCAGCGTTATCCAGATCTAGGGAGAGTTGGTGGATGAAACACTTGAACAGCTCAGGAGACATCGGGTGACCTTGCTCAGTCCCACAGTGAATGTCGATTGTCTCTGACAATCTGTTCAACAGTTTGATTTTTGCTGAGGAATGTGAATACATCTGCTCGATACATTGAAAGTATCGACCTCTTACTCCTAGCTCCCAGAGTTTATAGAGCATGGCATCTCGGCACACAGAGTCGAACGCCTTCGCGTAGTCGACGAAGCATCCATATAGCCTCTTTTTCCGTTGCGTTACATACTTTTGGATGCAAGTTGAGAGTGTTAGTATGTGGTCACTCGTCTGTGCTTTTTTACAGAACCCTAGCTGGTTTATGGTGTCTGGACAGTTCAGTGACCGGAATGTGAGTAGGCGCTGTAATAAGATAGTTGAAAACAGCTTCCCAACATTGCTCGCCACGGCTATCGCCCGGTAGTTGTTCGGATCGTATACACTCCCCTTTTTGTGCAAGGGTGTAACTAGAGACATAAAGGTCAAATGTAAAACTAAAATCTTGATGTTGATTGATTGACGACGTCAATTTTTGAGCACAGCGCGAGCGCATGCGGAAAAGGACCGCGTAGCTAGTCAAGATGTTGATAAATATTTGGCTTGTGGCGCGATGTGTTGCTCTAAGTATAGCCCTCTCGCTTGCAGTAGCGTGCGACCGCCGGAAATGACTTGTGGAACAAGCGCGCCCGCAGCGGCGCGAAAGCACCTGGTTAGCTAAATGAACGCGATGTGCCTTGCATTGTAGGATGAAATCCTACTAGCTGACGCCACTCTTAGCTGTGATGTTCGCTGTACGTCAGCGATCGAAATTTATACGCGTATCGCCCGTTAAGATGTGCCACCCGACGCGCCACGCAATTTGTCTCGTTGCTCGTCGCACGTCGACGAACAACGAAGCTCGTTGCGACGCGCAATGAGCTGCCAGGCTAGGACATCGTCCTGGTCCAACAAATTTTGGCGAGCGCGAGCGATTTTCTCCAAAAATTGAATGAGGGCGCCGACTTCCACTCTGGCTAGGTTTCTTCTTATAGGGGGTGCACGATAAAAATAAAGTTGCTTGGATTTAAAAAAATTTTCTAATCAAAAAAATTTTCTAATTAATCTCCAATTTCAATTGCAGTGTGGTGCTTGCGTGGCGCGGCGGGTCGGGTACTCATGTACTTGATTAT